TGAAGTCGAAGAGCTTTGGTGTATAAGAATGAGAACGAATCCCTCCCTATCCTGAGTCTTCATCCCATTCTTCATCGAACAGTATCTGGCTCTAGCTCTGATTATAATTCTACAAGGCTCATTTCTCTTCAAACTCATACATCATCGTCATCATGGTCAAGACCGCCCTTCTCCCTCTCGCTCTCCTTGCTGCACTGGCTCCCTTTGCCGCCGCAAGGAACTGCAAGACTGGGCTTAACTATTGTGGATGGAACCTCTTGAACATTGGTATGTGAACTGGCCTCTTCCATCCAGCCTTCACGTCCCTGATGAGGCCCTCTTGATAGGCAAGTACGGGGCCCAGGTCAATGGCGCCCTCGATGCTGCCCACCAGCCGACCGACGATGCCCATATTCGTGAATCCCTCTTCCACTGCAACGGTGGCGACAATGGCGATATCTCTTTCATCACATACTGCGGTGGTGGCTGCAAGGATGGCGGCAAGGACCGCAGCGACTACTGCTAAAAAAAAAGGCTGTGGATTGGTACCTGACTTCTGACTGGTGGTGCGATATGGATGCGGCCATTGTACTTTATCTCCTTCACCACCGTATTCAACATACGGTATAGTGGGGTCCTAGTCTCTAGAAAGAAAATGCAACTTCTGGGGGTTGAGCATGGTTGCTTCCTAACATAGATAAAATATACCATGCATGATAGGACAAAATTCACAGGTCCAGGTCCCCATATTACAAAGGAAACAGCGTTCATTTGAAGAAGTCGATATATTTCAGCTGGAACAATTACTGGATGTTCATCACGGAAAATGTTGTGGTCGCGACAAATAATGCAAGTCGGTCAGCAACATGATACAATGGATAATGGATCGTGTTGCTTGATTTTGAGCTCAACCATATTCTTTCGATACCATCTTACAATAGGCCTGCTTACAACAATCAAGAACCGATAACAGCCAAAGTTCGGCGTTGTCAACAAATAATATGGCGGGACCTGAAGACTCTGCCCCACCAGCCATGCCCTACTTGGTCCCCGACTTCGAATCGTTAACTTTAGCCTCCGCCTCTACGCTTCTCCCCGGCTCATCCGACGGAAATATCTCCCCAATCTCACCAATTATTAGCCAAAAGACTCATCCGCACCCACATTGACTCATGTCGGCAATTCTCCTGTGCTCCACTCTCCCAATGTAAGCAATTAACCCCGTAGTCGTATAAGTAGTCTCGTATCCCACCGAGCCAAGAATCCTCCATACAAAACTTATCCAAATCAAATAAAATAACCCCAAGAAATGCCATTCATAATCCGCTATGCCACCGAGCAAGATGCTCCCCACCTTGCCAACATCAATGTAGTCAGCTTCAACCACCAGGCACTATGGTCCGCGTTGTTCCCAAACGTCGACGTTTCCGGAACTTTGCCACTCAAAACAGCCCGTTGTCTAGACAAGCTCAGATCGCCGGAAGTGCATGTTGTGGTAGCCGTTGATGATGATTCGGGCAAAGTTATTGGGTACTCTCGATGGTTGTTTCCGAAGGATTACGAAACGAGCGTTGTCGAATTGTCCTCTGCGGGCTTAGATGCACTAGCGGCTCATGACGATGGAAAAGCGTACCCAGAAGGTCTCAATATGGAGGCTTATCAAGCGTTTAAGGATCTCCTGGCTGATTTGCAGCGGGCACATTTTGAGGAGGGTGATATCAGTATGTTGAATACTCGCTCTTATATTTATCATTGCGGTACTTGAAAGATTGGCTGTATTCGTGTACTGACTACAGCAGTGTTGGAATTCCTTGCTACTTTGCCGGAAGCTCAAGGTAATGGTGTTGGAACGGCATTGTTGAAATGGGGTATTGAGCGTGCTGATGCAAGAAATGCTCGAGTGTATTTGGAGGCTACAAAGGATGGATATCCGCTTTATTGGAAGCATGGGTGGCGGGATCTGCAGGTGGCAGGGTTGGATTTCGCGAAGTATGGGAGCACAGGGTCGCAGGAATAGGTTGCTATGCGGAGGGATAGGAGGAAGCCTGTTGCTGGATGAGATTATTTCGTTCAAGCTTGTTCTTTGTTCTGTTTAGACTACCGATGACGGATAATACTCAAGTAATAGATCTCAGGCATTGGAGATACATTAATGGATGATCATTGAATATATGGAACTACTATAAGAGATGATCTCAACTCCACACCTATTGTATACGTATACTGGTCACAGGTTCTGGGATTCTCATTAGAAACACTCGTGTGGGGGACTGAGGAAGCCTATCAATTTGTAATGTACCAAAAGCAGGTGCGGTCCTTTTTTGGCATAATACCTAGGGCCTCCGAAATTTTTAATCAGCCTGCGGTGACTCGATATATGAGTATGAGAGGAGAGAGAAGATAGGACCAGTATGAGTACAACTTCAACTTCGGCCCCAATATACTCGGAATCTGCTGTTCGAACTCATAGGGTGAATTTCAATTTTATAGACCTCGCATGTTACAGCCATTTACTAATATACTGCATGGCTATGCTCTAGTTTGATTTCACTTCATCTCCAGTCCTAGGGGGTGAATTCCATATTCACCATGGCAAAAGGCTTCAATCAGGACATTAACCACCTGCGTTCCTCAACTCGAGCCATTCCCTGTCTCTTGGTCGTTCCTTTTATAAATAACCCCCTCTGCTTTTGTCTCTCATCTTCCCATTTCGTTATCCACTCATAAATTATCTTATTCTGACTATGAGTATACTAGAGATATCTTTTTCCTGGTAAGGTATCCTTGCAATTCTATCGTCTTCAATGGTCGAAGGAGACGTATAGTCTGTGTTTACTAGCAGACAATCTTCTATATGGTATTCAATGATATCTCATTTATGTCATATTGAGCATCACTATCTTAAGCTGAAGCGCAAACCGTGTCATCTTGCTGCAGCAATATCTCGGTTTGGCAGTATGCGCGACGAAGAATGGGAGCATTGGGGAAATGCGGATTCTGCATGCAGGAGGCCTAGGAACTCGTCTTGTTTGTAAACGAACTCGAAAAGGCAGCATACAAACATATGACTTTTGATGATTAAACAATCACCAACATAAAACGTCAGATGCTCCCAGAAGATGCCTCTCATGAGGCTATACTCTAACTGATCCGCAGAATACTGGAAAATATCTCGGAAGCCTAGGAGAAAGGCATGGGAATTGTCTTGTCTATGGCTCGCCGTTCAACTCCAATGCGCCAAGCTCAGCATATCCCGAGGCCTGGCCAAATTTGTTCATTTATACTTATAATCTATACATATAATAATGTATCGATGTCGGAAAGCAGACTGTCTTTTTCCGGCATATGCGTTATTGAGTATCTAGCGCTTATATCTCTCTTCTATAAGAAACGAGGAATTTGTGAATGATGGTAAGTCTTCTAAGAGCGCATAGTTTGCATATACTGACGGGAGAACAGTCATTCCTGCTTTATATGGCATGACCGCAATTCGAACACAGATGTATACTGCAGTGTCCTGCCCAACCGCTGTGCGGAGACCTATCCATATGGAGGAGAACCGAAGCCTCTAGATCACGACATCTGTGGAAGTGGCGCACAACTTTCTGCAGTATTATGCCTGGTGGACGAAAGATGAAGTAAAACCTTCCCACGCCTATTCTATAGGGCGCTACCTTATATGTTTAAAGCTATGCTGATATATCACAACTACGCCGGCTTATCCGACAAGCCATCTTGGGCCCGTATCTTATTTAAATTGGCATACTTTCTGCATATGCTGATAATATACAGTGGAAAACCCCTCGAAAGCGAATACGGGTTTCGAGGAAAGGATTGCAGGTGAAAAGTAAGTCAGATCTACGCATCAGTTTAGCATATGCTAACAGATACAGTGCTTAAGAGCACTGGGTGTTATACCACCACTGGCAACAGGCGCGGTACTTGCATGAACCCAAGTATGTGCTTTACATATGCTGAGCTTATAATTGAGAGAGATATGTCTAACATATGCAAAAATAAAATCGCGCACAGGTCTCCAATTTGGAAGTTCGCCCATACCTGAGACGCTCTTGCGTGAGTTATACCTGGCATATACCCTGCATATACAAGAAGACCAAGGGGGAAAAGGGTCTACTGAGTCCAGCTTCAAAAAGACGCATGGTGATTTGTTTCATGGGGTAAGTATCTCTTTCGCTTATACAATACATATGCTAATCATGTAGCATGTTCTTCGCCGGCAGGGTTGGGATTCTATGTCCGGATTCGGCCCGACATGGCGCCGCTTTTTGCTCAATGACTGGCGCTGGGATGTGGGGTACGCATCCAGGTGCGTGCGCTGAGTGTGCTCGGTGAATAATCCCGGACTTCATCCGGGAGTAACGGGACGAATCTATGCGACCCCTCAACGCCAAGCGACTCGAGCAATGGAACAAACATGTCTCAGGCTTCATTTCGATGGCGGGAAGCCCCTGAGCAGACCCTAATCGCCAAGGCATTAGGGACAGCAAACCCCGATCTCCGAAGAAACAAAATCAAAGCCCCATCTAGATATTCACCCCAATGGAGAGCCTTCAGGACACTTGGAGCTCGTCTCCATACTGAGAGTTGTGGCAGACATACTACCCCCTACCAAGAGGCTAACCAGAGGGATAGTGTGGATGTGGCAATATCAGCCATTCCATCCGTGGCAATAAACCGGCAAGTTATCTTTCGACTGATTGGTCGAATCTCATTTAAGGTGCCAATCTGCCCCATAGTATGTCTCCTTGGTACATAGCCCCCACAGCCTAGAAAATCTATATCAGTTTTTAATCACATTGGCAGGACCACTGTGAAAAACAGGGTACTGAGAATTTCAAATCAACCTGAGAGGCTTATAAATCACACCTCTCGATGCAGAGGTTTTGCTAAAAGGTGGTGGAGTGTATTCTGGTATGCCTATAAATCATACCTCCGCTGCCCTCTAATCCGGCCTTCAACAGCCTTCAGCAGCCTTCATACGTTCGAAGTTACCTACCATCATGGAGAACTACAATGACGCCAACCCGACAGAGGCCGCCCTTGAGGCCCGCTACCTAGGCAGCGAACCACCAAAAGCCACATGCTCGAATTCAGTTCTCAACGCAATCTGGCACCACAAATCCAGCCGCCACTTCGCGTCTGATGCCTTGCCATCTGGCACCCTGGAAACCCTTATTTCCGCCGCCCAAAGTGCCTCGAGTTCCTCCATGCTGCAAGTATGGAGCGCGGTAGCCGTTCAAGATCCCGTCCGCAAAGCCGCCGCAGCAAAGCTCTGCGGAGACCAAGACTTCATCCAGCATGCACCACTTATGCTTTTCTTCTGTGCGGATCTTGATCGTCTCACAAACATTTCTGGGTGGGAGAACCAGCCAGGAAAGGCACTAGATAACACGGACATGTTTATCATGGCGACGATTGACACCTCGTTGGCTGCGCAAAATGCTGCTTTGGCTGCAGAGTCGATGGGGCTAGGAATTTGCTATGTCGGCGGCGCACGGAATAATGCTGCTCAGCTTTCCAAATTGCTACACCTTCCAAACAGGGCTATCGCCCTGTTTGGGATGGCGATTGGAATACCCGACCCTGTCCGTTCAACGAGCATCAAGCCGCGATTGCCTCTGAAGGAGGTCCTTCATATGGAGACTTGGGATAATAGCTCACAGCGGGAAAATGTCAAAAAATATAATCAGGGTTTAAGCGACTTTTATGAGTGGCATCACATGGGCGGTCGCAAGAGCTGGGCGACTTTTGTCGCAGGTTTGATGGCGTCAGGGGAATTGGATGGAAGGGAGAAGATAATGCAGACTTTGCAAGAGACGGGGTTCAAATTTCACTAAGTGTGTGTTTGGAATTGACTGGCATCTTTATATTCTCCCGCGTTTGAGCATGATGGTCTGTGCCACGCTGGTGGGTGAAGTTTCAAGTTTGCATTGGCGATTACAATTTGATGGACTGGGCACGGCTTTTCTGGACATATGTATTTACATTGGATCTGGGGTAAAAATCATAAAGCATCGGTTTCTCAGCTCCAAGATCAAACAGGTGCTGGATTTTCAAATTTTTCTTATCCTATCTCAGTTTTCATCATTTTGTAGCCATTCGTCGTGCAAATACCGTCTCAAATTATATCCCTTGAAATGAACTCCAGAATCCCTGGCCGCCCAGTACGCCCTTACAAGTCTCTGGATATACAACCCATAGCCTTCAGAGCAACATACCAAGGTCGGCACATGCAGCATCCACCGATCCCTTTCCACATCCTCTGTCAACTCAACACACGCCACAAGAACAGGTACCATCACGAATTTCACCGGCTTTCCTGTTGCTAGCATAGTTGATTCTAGCTGTGTGAGAATTGACATTCCGATTGCACGAGCAGGAAGGTCGTGCACCCCGAAGGGAAATCTCATACGGTGAATCATGAGAAGGGCAGCCATGCGCATTACTTGGATCTGACAGGATATGTGTTCGATCTCAATTGCGGAGAAGGTTTGACATAGACTTTCGGAAACACCGGGTTGCCATGCGAGTGCTGCTGCTTCGAGATCGTCTAATGAGTGCGTTATCCGATGAATATCACGCCCCCCGTGGCCCGTCGAGGAGACCGCCCAATTCAGTTCGCATAATTGGAAAAGCAATGGAAGTAGAGAGGTAGTTAGACCAAGGTAGCGATCCACGTAGAGAGGGTCATCTGGTTGCCGGAACTGTAGTGCCGGAACAGCCCCGTAAATCAAGGACCCTAACATCTCCAGCATAATCGTACCTGTGAGGAAGAAAAACTGGTTGGACAGGGACTTGAAATGGTGTCATATACTGGCCGAAACAAGATGAGAGTCTGCCGAGATAGGGTGTATACATTATGGGGTCTCTTGAACATAGCAAAGAGCATAATGATTGTCCCGAGAATGAGACAGGTTGCTGCTTGCTGGGTATTCATGACGCGCATACAACGAAGATTCTGCAACGCTAAAGATGCATACCGGTATGGGGTGAAAAGCTCGTCCCGAGACAAGATCGCCCTGCAGTTCCTGGTCTGAGCGACCGACAGACCATATGCAACATACGCATGGGTTAGAATTGGCTTCGATTGCTCGTAATATGAGCACAGGACAGCGTGGTGTTGATCCCAGAAAGTCGGCCCGACGAGGAACTTGGAATAAACGTCATATGCAGAAAGAACTGTATATATGATATCGGTCTCGGTAATGGACGGAGTAACCGAGATCCTACTTGTGAGCTCTAAACTGGGATGTAAAGATGCAGCAGAGAGAGCCCGGCGACCTAATTTCTTCGCAGGGCGAGTAATTCTGCAAGAAAAGCCGAGTCGGGCGCATCGAGCACACCTATCAGACCCTTGGGTCCACGAGCACCTTTCCTTGATGCTATGGCATCGATCACAAGATTTGGTCATTGTTTAATGATGTATGTTTCAGCTCAAACGGCTAGGATTGGATATATGTACTTCTCCACGACGCCACTTCTGACCGCCTTGGGGAAGAGTTGTGGGAAGCGATGGATGTCTGGGTGATTGACTGACCAAGGGCTGTTCAATTACATAAGCCCCTCACAAAAGCGGCGGTATCTGAAACAGGAAGTCGAACCGGCGAAGAACATATCATATGTATACATATCATAGCTTGATGCGGGATCTATCGCCATCACTCACAAGGCAAGTCCCCTCCATACCTAATGCAAGCATAAACTGAGGATACACAGGAACCGCACTGCATTTCTTCTGCGGATCTGAGAAGAAGAAAGATGTCGCATCTGCAAGCTATACCGGAGATATAGCGTACGCATCGAACTGTGCTTTCTGGATTAAAAGATTTCCAGACGCTGAACAGGGAACATCACTCTATCGAGACGCTCGGTCTCAAAGCACTTCCGGGATTATACCACATATGGACTCCTTCTATAGCATCGATGATGGTCTTAAACAACAATTAGTGCAGGCAATAGTCGAAATTAGTGGGCCTAGGTTTTCTAGTAGCAGCCCGAATGCCTCATGACCATAGAATCACGGGGAATTCAGCATACAGTATAGATTCGAAAGAAGCAATCCAGTGGTCCTAATAAATACCCCTACGGACGTAATCAGAAAGCTCTCATGGCTTCACGCACTATTGCCCTCCGTGGCCATATCGCATGGGGACATAGTACAGCAGACATTGTCAGGGAAGATCAGATAAAATTGAAAAACTTAGTGCAGTGTCGCGCAGAGAACTACCCTAACGTCTACCACGCACACATCCGCACTCCTAGAGACTCGTCATTTCGTTTAGCCATCGATAAAACCCCCTGATAACTAACAACATGATGACCAAAGAAATTCGGGATACTGGGTTATGGGGGCTGCTAAACGACTCGCTAGAAAGCTTACCGAGACGAAAAAACAGTATGACAAATATGGGAAAATTGAAAGGCTTCTGATAGGAAATGCAAAACAGCTTCTGTATGTCCACACTAGAAACATCATCAGACTGTGCACAAAGCGCACTAGCGTACTTAGCCGAAGCACAAGACGAGACGACGCATTTACGCCCTGTTGGAAAGCAACCTCGACCCAAGCATGCCGACCAATGTGTTATTTTCCTCAACCTGGCCATGCACTCACCTCAATCTTTGCTTGCGTATCTGGCTTCGATGACACTGCAGCCTGGACACGGGGTTTGGGGAATCGGACGTTTTATGCGCTGCCTGTGCGTTTGTGGCTCAAATAAACTAGATGAAGTGTCAAGGGATATACCGATGCCGCCAGTGCTCCAGAAATAGCATATACTGCAGTATAGTATTAACTTGTGTGTCTTTGATAGTCGTCGTAAATGCGTTCGTTGTTCGAGGTCCCTCCCTTAGGCTAGGAAGACGGATATTGTACGGTCCGAGTGGACATCATATATTAGAAAAGGCACGATTTACCCTAAAGCCATTGTTACTAATGCAATCCAGGGTATTGCTGGCATAAGGATCATGATAGTATTGAGGTTCGTCTTCAGCCCAGACAACTGTCTATAAGATACTATTCTGAGTTTAAACGGTCATATTGTTCACTACATTTCCTCCCCAGGATATCCCGATGTATGTGACTCATGCCGCACTTGGTCATAAATAGCAATCAACATGAAATAACCACAGCTGCCTACACATAGATGGTAGTATTTGGCTTGCTCTAAGGGGGTATCTCTCACGTAATTCATGATGGTCACAGGGGTATCACCTGACTGCCTTCTTTCATGCTAGCCCCTCACCAGCTCTTCTTTCTCTTCGTCATCTATCATCCTATTCGCATCGAACTACGGTGGGCTACAGATAATGTAAGGATCGACAATAAATGTCATTTCATGATGTTCCGTCCTGTCAAAACCAACATGCTGGAAGCACGAGCCCACTAGATGCTGTTAGATAGCTCATTTGCGGTTCAGGTACATGATCACAGTCTCCTCAGTAACACCCGGACCCATTGATTCATGGTGTGTCGGCCACGTTGTACACCAGCTTCTTTCCACTGACCTTGCCATCCTTCATATCCTGCAGACCCTCCAATACTCCCTGAAGCCCCCGTGGCCCCAGCTTGACAGGATGAGGCTTGACCTTCCCCTCTGCAAGGAAAGTGGCTGCCTTGCTCATAAATTGTCCCGCAAACTCTCGATCCTCCGGCTTGGCCGGAATGATGCCACCACCAAAATCAAAATCCTCGCCAAAAGCAGTGTATCCTATGGTGAAAAGACTGCGGACGTCATCACGGGGAACGTTCACCTTCAGCAAGGCAGAATAATCTCCGCCCTTGCTAGAGATCACTTCGCCACAGAACTTAGCGCTAGACTCAACAGCAACAGTGTCGAATACCAGCTTCAGATTGTCCTGTGCGTAATCCTTGATGGCCTGGACTGCATTCGCATCTTTATAGTCGAACACTGCATCTGCACCCAGACTCTTTACAAGATCAAAGTTCTGCGCGGAACATGTCGTCAATACAGTGTATCCCGACAACTTGGCATACTGAATGGCCAGGGTACCGGTGGCTGTGGAGCCACCGTAGATGAGAATCAGCTCAGGATGTGCTAGTGGGGCGTCTGGTGGTGCGAGCTTCAGACTCTGATACAGGCCCTGGCCCACCGTGATTGTCCCCAAGCCGAGGGTTGAAGCTTCTTCAAAGCTGAGACGGTCGGGTATGGCGATCTGAAGATCGGCTTTCGGGATACAGTATTCGGCAAAGGCGCCACTCTCCGGGTTGTTGGAATTGCATCCTTGGACCCAACCGCAAACACAGTCGCCCTTGCGAAAGGCTTTCTTGACGCCTTTGCCGACCTCTTCGACGACACCGGAGTAATCATTTCCAATGACTTGTCCTGGAGGTTTCCGGTCGGCGCTTTTCCAGTCGGTGGGGTTCAGAGCAACACTAGCTGTTTTGACAAGAAGGCAGTCGTCGGGCACAGTAGGGATAGGACGTTCCACTACGTCGCGACTACCGGGCGCAGTGATCACGAGGGCTTTCTGCATGATGAGTGATGAGATGAGATACGAAGTTATGGCGTGTTGCGAAGAAGCAGGTGAGAATTACAAACAAAGACAGGCGGGGGTCAGAGAGGGGTTTAATAAATGTTACATGACTGCTGATTATAACGTCACAGCTCCTTTGCCAGACTAATTATGTCCTTGTTATCTCCGCTCCTACACTGAATGGATGACAGCTAAGCATTGTATTATTAATCGGGGCCATTAATAATCCACGATGCTATGGCCTTCTAAGGCTGGCTTGCTGCGATGTGATTCGACATCGGGACTCGCTAACCAGTGCCGGTCCCGAAATGGATCCGTTCAGTAGTTTAGCTTCTCTCCAGCCGATCCATGTTCTCCAACATTCAACTATCTACCTCTGTTCCATTCTTCTCCAACTCACTCCTATTGATGTCGGCCCGGCCCAATGACATTTCTCGCGTGGCCAACCTTGTCTCTGCCCAACCCAGCCCGACCGATTCCCCGTCCGCACCTCCGCCAGCGGGAATGACGCCGCCTCCCCGAGAGCGGGTCCCACGGGCCTGTGAACACTGCCGGGCCCGCAAGATCAAGTGCAATGGCCAGCAGCCGTGCAATGCCTGCGCGCGCCATCCAGAACGATGTCTCTACCGGACAGGAAGCATCCGCCAGAGAAAGAACCGTCGCACCAAGGAAGCCCCGCGACCACCAGCTACCTTACTCCCTCTTCCAACCACCGAGTCGCCCACTACTTCAAGTGACTGGTCCCACACCAGTCTAAGCGATGGCCCGGCGCAATATAAGCGACATCATGAGCTCCGCGCTGGCATTGGCGTACAGAACCCAGAGACAGGGGCATTCCAGTTCTATGGTAATTCTCATACCCTATATTTTACAGACTCTGTTAACCCACGAAGGACCCTCCTCCGGCTTCTGCTTCATTCATCGGGTCTACCAACGCATTAAGCAGGGCTCATCTAGTGAGCCGCTGCTTGCTCGTCGTAGTTGCTCCATTCCAGATGCCATCCACCGATTTGGTTTGGAGCGCTTCATGTTTGCCCGGCCAGGGGACTCTGATCCGCGGCGGACTCAATTTCCGTCTCAGATGTTCCTCCCAAGGGAGTTGGGTGACCAGTTCATTGAGGCCTATTTCCGCATCATGCACCCGCAAATACCCATATTGATCATGTCTGAAATTGTCGATGCTTGGAACCAAATGTGGGAAACTCCTGTTCGAGACCACAGCGTCAAAAATCAGGATATCCTATTTATGGTGCTGGCTATCGGCGCTCGGATCGCCAATCTGAGGGGGAAGCAATCTGAAAGCAGTGTCGAGGCCTGGGCCGATTACTTCTCCAGTCGAGTGTCTGAGGGGCCCATCTTTCTGCAGGAACCGAGCATCCGGGGTGTACACTTGATGCTGTTGAAGGTACGTCATCAACATCTGCCAATGAAGCTCGCTAACCCAATACAAGTCAATGTACGCTTTGCAACTGATGCGACAAAATGATGCTTATCTCTACCTGGGTCATGCCACCCGCACATGTCTCGTACTAGGTCTGCACCGGGCCCAGGTCACTGATGGTCGCGATCCCAACGTGCATCGGCTGCGTTTGACCTTCTGGACGACATTCTTCTGCGAACGCATATCTTCGCTGTATATGGGTCGTCCGTCGAGCCTTTCTGACCGACAAATCGACACAGCATACCCAGAAGACCTGCCGCAGAATCTTTATGACAGTACTTGCGCGCCTATGCAAGAATGTGCGTTCATCCGAGCCATGGGCGAGATTTCCAAGCTGGCGGATCGCATCTCTATTGAGATATATTCGCCGGCCAGCATAAAAAACCCCACAGATCTGGACAAGCTCAACCAAATCAGCATTGAATGCGACCAAGCCCTCCAAGCTGTCACACCGACACTACCCAGTTACCTGCACTTCTTCGATGACACGGTCCCAATTGGTGAGCCGTGGCAGGAGATTCAACGCGTGAGCCTTGGATTCTGTTACTACGTCGTCCGGATGCTCCTCTCCCGCCCGGCACTGGTGCTCACAACCTTCTTCACCTCAGTACAAGAAGCCCAATTTGCCACTGGCTGCACCGAGCTCCAAGCCTGTATCAATTCATCGACTTCTGCAGCCCGGAATTTGATTCACCTGGCTCATGATGTCTATTTCCGTCGCTTTCCAGAGATCCGCTATGATGGGGCTTTGGCCTCATTTCTTGTATCTGCAACGTTGACTCTTTTATATGATGTGCTTAACTTGGGAACAGATCCGGACCGAGCCAGGCAGACCTTCACGGTTGTTGAGAAGGCGATAAAGTGTCTGGATGAGATAGAACATACGGGGTATACGTCAGGCAAAGCGTTGAGCTTGGATCTGATGAGAGTGGCTAAGCAAGCCGTGCAAGCGTCCGATCCCGTGGTGGACACAAACCAGGTCTTGATGGATGCATTCCCGTGGTTAGAGTATGTTTTTGCCCTTTGTTGTTGGACTGTGCTGACTGAGTAGTAACTGGGCATCCGCCCCGGTCGGGGAGAATCCCGATCTGTCAATGTATACGTTTCCCCCGGCGGACGTGGCGGTCATTGGCTCTTTGGCGGGGAATGAAGTCGGTTGGACCGAGACGGACGGCAACCATCTCTGGTTGGGCAATGGGTTCGAGCCGAATGCAATGCCGGGGTGTTTATTCTAGGCGCGAAAAGAGTAGATTGGATAGACAGCACTTAATAGACAAATGGATTATTTATGAGGGCCGGCGGCTATTCTGGCATTGTCTCCCAGCCACGTCTCTCCAGCTGAAACACCCCAACGCACCTCAGCCTTAGGGTATTATCGCTCCAATGCGATGCCTGCCCTAACCGCCATCCATCCTGCCAGTGGTCCGAGCGCTATCCGGAGAAAGAATCCAGAGATACTTATACCCTTCTTTCTATCCTACCCAGCTGCCTCCCATTGAGTGAGTTCCAATGTCCAAAGCTAACATCCGGGCAGTCCCTTGGACTTCCCACCTCATCTACCTCCTTCTTATCCTCCCCACTGGCCTCAGCATCACCCTCCTGCTCAGTGACTCCCAGCACTGGACCCTTACAGGCGACCTCTACACCTTTATTAACCACTACCGCACGACCGTGCAAACAGCACTTCAGATCATAGCTACTCTCCTCGGCGCTATCCAAATATTCAGCATCTGCCGCCTTATAAACCATGCCACTCGCATCCTCTTCAAACACTCCACCCACCACACGACCCTCAACGACCTCGCCCTCTGGTCCGCCCTCTCCACCCCAACCACCAACTTCTCCCTCCCTCTGCCTCAAATAATCCTCACCCTCCTCCTCGCCAACCTCTCCGCCGTCCTCTCCGCCCTCTGGACTGGTGCCCTCACCCCAACCTCCACCACCACCACCGCCAACACGACCATCCTCATCCCCTCCTACGCCAACCGCTCCTTCATCAAAGAATACCCCTCCCAGATCGACACCACCGGTCCCTCCCTCCGCACCTCCCTCGGCTATTTCACCTACTCCGTCGGTGTAGGTCTCCTCACCTCCCTCGTCTCCTCCGCCTCCACCGCCTCCCCACTCACCGGCTCCCTGAAATCCCGCTCCCACGCCAAACTCGACTCTACCGGCTACACCTACTCCGGCCGCTCCTACGGCGTCGGCAGCCCTGTCGGCCTCACCGATGAAAATGTCACTGCATCCTTCCCCTACGCAGCCAACTACACCTACCACGAACGCGGCTACCTCGCCCACGTCTCCTGCATATACAACTCCTCGACCCTCTTCCTCCTAGGAGATACTTACGATACAGCCCTATACGTCGCCGAAGGCCCTCTACCCGACAGCAACGCCTCCACAGGCGAATACTCCACCTACACAGGATGGTCAACCGACACGATCGTAGCCCTCGGCGTAGCCAGCCAACCCGCGGCATACACAAAGGAGAGGTACGTCGCCGCCGCAGCAGGGAGTTACTACGCGTCGTTAAACGCAAGTCAATGCCTGATCAGCTTCGTACCGAGATGGTTCCTCGTGAACGTGGCTACCCAGGAGAAACTCGTGGACGTGGTGCCACTCAACACTACCTCCTCTACCTTATACTCCTCTGAAGAAGAAACAGACATCGACATCGACCCCACCAACAAAACCATCCACGTCGCCATGCGCCAATTAGAACTCATCTCTAACGACCTCACCTCCTTCTACCGCTCCACGCTCGGCGACGCATTCAACACGTCCATTGCAGATCACGCCACGAACACCAACACCACTGCCACCATTTCCTCGAACTTCACCACTAGCGCAAACTCCACCGATAATGTAACAACAACCCTAACCGCCATCCAAAACACCTATATCTCCCTGATTGACGATATTCTCGCTGCGTATGCGTCTGCACAGCTCATGGTGGGGAATTTCTCTCATCCTGCCACCGCGACGGTTACTGTTGATGCGTTCCGGCTTGGGTCCAGGGTGTATATTGTGGCGGTGTTTGTGGTTAACGTGCTTGTGCTGCTTGGGGTCGGTATTGAGATGGGACGCACGGGTGTGTGGGGGGCATTGCCGCAGTTCGATTATTTGGATGCGAGGATGTTGGTGCTCGGGGGTGCGAATGGGGGGAGGGGGGTTGCGGAACGGGCGGCGGAGGTGGGGTGGAAGGGAGAGGAAACGGGGAGGTTTGGGGTTAGGCTTGTTAAGGTTGGTGGGGTGAGGGGGGTGGGGTGGGGGTTGGTTTATGGGGGGAGTAGGAGTGGGAGTAGCAGGAGTATAAATGGTGGTGGTGGTGGTGAGAAGGGGAGGAGAGGATCGCAGGAGACGTTGGTAGATGAGTGGATATGATTTCGTCATTATGTTTGTGTTCAGTATATAGTAGTTTGGGGGATGGGTTACGAATATCAGATCAGACTACGCTATAAGTATAGAAGAAAGAAAGGATATGAACTGGTATGTATTGTTTATTACTTCTGACTCCTCACCATACTCCGCAACGCCTCCGTCTCACCCTCCAACTTGGAAACCCGCATCTTCAACTCGTCCCGCTCGCGCTTAATCGCCTCAAGCTCCTCCTCCAACTGATTCATCCGATCCACGCGGCGCTGACGATACCGTCGCGCAGCAAGAGTATTCAGCTCCCGCTTCTTGACTCGGTTCGGGGCTTCTTTGGGAGGAGCGGCTGCTCGAGAGGATGCAGTAGAGCTGACGGATGGCATGGGTGGGAAGTCTAATTCAGGTTCTTCATCTTGTCAGTCAAATTCTTCTTCATTTGATTAAAGAAAGGCATCCTACCAGGAAGAGAATTCACACCAGGCGAAGCCAACAGATTCAACTCCTCGCTCAGCTCCGGAGAACTAAGCAAGGAATCAATCGGGTCGAGATCGGGTTCAGCAGTGACAGGCACAAGAGAATGAGGATGGGGGTGAAGTATCGTCGCGCAAGAAGTATGTTGAGTAGATGTCGGATCCTGATAGCCAATGATCTGATCTTGATAGCTACTATCACTCAGACTGGACAAGGCTGTATTTATAGTTGAATTTGAATTGGACCCGGCAGTGAGGGAAGTATCCGGTGGAGAGTCGTCATAGAACAGGGAAGTAGGGTCAACGGGAGGAAAGGCCGCTGACGAGAGATCGAAAGTAGGATTATTATAGTATTCGGGATGGAGGTAAAATGAGTCAGGGTATTGGGGGAGATCCTGGTAGAAATGGTGACTATTATACGGCGGCGGCGGAGAGGTCTGGCTTTGCGCAGATAAACGCGAAGGTCTGGCGGACGGCGTGCATGCTGGTAACTGCAGTGACAACCATTCTTCTATACTTGAGGCCGGGTCCTTGGACCCGGGAGAGCCGGTGCGAAGAGAGGGAAGAAGAAGACGCTTTCGCCGAGGCGATGGGGGATGGGAAGGGGAGGGAGAAGATGAAGTTGGTCGGGGTGAGGCCCGGTTTATAAGGCCGCTGCGGATTGAGGAGGCGGGTTGCGTTTTGGGTTTAGTGCGGTGGGTGGGGCGGGTTCGTTTGGGGCGTGTCTTAGTTGGGTGGGTTTTATTCATCTTTTCGAAGAATCAATAGTAGTACACTCTGAAATGATGATAGAATGAAGTGTTGTGTAGTAAGTACATCTTGACAAAACAACCAGCGCAGTATTCCATCTATGTACCCTCGTCATTCTGAGCCATCTTGTTCATTCCAGCACCACTGAAGGGGGAAATCATTGTCTAGGAAGTATCTTCGTTAGCTCTATCCAAGTGGAGATGAAAAGACACTATGAACACGAGCGAGCGACTCAGATGATGTCGGCCCGCAAGCCTGGAAAGGTTCTTCCATTTTCATCTTTCCAGGCGCCTCAGAATGCGGAGCATGTCAGCGATCGGGAGTGTCTTCATCGTGCTCTGGCGCTAAGCTAGTCGGAATGGGGCTGGTGCTTACGGACCGGAGGAAAGTGGCATGTAGTGCAGTGGTATTGCAGAAGTTCAACTAGATTTATTCAATTGGTATTATAGACGCTTTACTTTACTACGTAGAACTGTCTCTTTTATGTCTTCATGCTGCTCTGGTCGACTCACTTCACCGTCAGAATCCACCAACATGAGTCCAGCATGAGTGCAGCATGGTCTATCATGAGTCTCTGTGAGTCGAGATGATACAGAATGATCACAGCAGGGAGACAACTAAACCGCACCCGCCAAGTAATTACTCGTGGGGCCATGGAGCATGAGTCATTCTCACTCATGGCCAGACTGCCCCACTGCTATCTGCCCCACCCTCCACCTCAACACGAGCCATCCAATCAGAGGGTGATGCCCCAGACATGCAGGTGCCTGGATTGGTATCACAATGATGCTGATAACGCGGGTCTTCTCTCCGCCTCAGGAGATGAGTTGTTGCCACTGTGGCTGTTGTAGGTCTTCCTCATCAGGGAAATATCTTGTCTTAATGCATGTCTTGTATCTGTTACAGATATTTGTACCTAGCTCTCTTAGTAGATATCATGTTGGTTACATACCTCATGGTTGAATTGATAGATGTACTGTGCTTCTCTACATTCAATACTATATATAGTATCTGCAGAACTCGTCCTCCCCATATTATGATAGCACGGATGGTAAATATATGTACTGGTTAGAGTTACACCATTCGCTCTCCTCATCGGATGTCAACTCCGCAACCCCACCAAACCAGTTATGCCAATTCTCGGGGTTACTCTGTGAGACCCTGCGGAGATACTTTTCCTGCCAGACATAGCGGCAATCTTTGATATCAAACCTCTCTCCTATAAGCACCTAGATAGAATAGCTATAGTCGTCGCTGCCAAATGTAGAACTTCTACCACAGTAGGTTGACCTCAAACCATTTGCAATTGTAATCACCGTATCCCCATATCAAATCCCAGTTAGTAAACTGTAATATTTACACAGATTGACTTTCGCTTCGAGTCATATACACCTAATGACGGCATCTATTAGGGCTCTAAACGACAATCTAAAACCACACAGCTATCCATATTCCTCACATACCTACCTAAATAGTCTCTTCATCTCCACAACCAGAACCAACACCACCAAACCCAATAACCACCATCACCACCACAATGCACCTCCTCACCACCCTCCTCGTCCTATCCACCACCGCCCCCCTCCTAACAACCGCCTACTCCATCCCTCCGAACCTCTCCGCCCTCTACAACAAGCACAAGGTCTGCCCCAAACCCCCTCTCCCCTCCCATCCCCTCCTCCTCCACCCCCATCCACTAAAAAGAAGATATCAAAAAGTCCAAACCCTGCACCCACCCCCTCGCAACCGGCTTCCACGACGGCCAAAACCCCACGGACAGCACATTCACCTACTGCAGCGACCTCTCCAACCGGTCGATATTCCTGCACAGCCCGACACTAGGCGGTCGATACGACAACATGGACATCGACTGCGACGGAGCGAATTCGCACGGGGGCAACTGCGGCTACGACGAATCAATCCAAGACCAAACGAGCTTCAAAGACATTGTTTCCTCTCAATACGGCATTCCTGATCTAGACGCTAATATACATCCCTATGTTGTCTTCGGGAATACGGATTATGATCCCCAGCGCGATGGGATGTGGCCGTTGAGTGTTATGGTTGTTGTTTGTGGGGATCAACTTGTAAGTTTATCTATTTCCTTCCGGGGTGTTAAGGGAAGGGAGGGTTTGCTGATGAGTGTATAGTTCTATGGCATCTGGGGAGATACGGCGGGTGGGAGCTGGACTGGGGAGGCGTCGATTGCGTTGGCGAAGTTGTGTTTCCCCGGTGATGGGATTAGTGGGAATAATGGGCATGTGAGTGATGATGTCCTGTATATTGGGTTTGTTGGGGGGGAGGCGGTTCCTGGGAATAGGGCGGATTGGAAGGCGGGGAGTACGTGGGAGTTTGAGGAGAGTATTCGGGGGCTTGGGGAGAGGTTGGTTGCGACGCTTACTTAGTGTAGGCATATAGTTGGGTAGTCGAGGATTCTTTCTTACAGTAATATTGACTTGACTGTTAGGAGAGTATTTCCTTGGGACTGGAGAGTGTCTTATCTTTCTGTTGCTCTGCCTTTTTTCTTTTTAGCTGGCCTACTCTCGACATCTACAAGGAAGCTGCATAGCTGCATACTAAGATGAGATTCTATAACTATCAATTTCCTAAGTAACAAACCGTAACCCGACCAACAGCAAGGTATCATAAGCGCAGCAGCAAGCCAAGCCAACCGTCAAGCTCTCCCAACGCTGAAACTCGCTCCCGCTATGCAGAACAAAACAATGTCGTCAGAACCACACTTTTGGCGCGTTCCGTTGCAGTGGCCCAAATCAAAACGCCGGCCAATGATGCGCCATACACAATGATGAAAAAAAGAAGATAGCAAGGGTATAAATCAAAGACATGCTCATTTCTTGAACATGTAGTGCCCGTAGAGCCCGCCTACGTCGCCCACGGCCACCGGAATCTTCCGCATGCCCCACCAACGGGCGCCCATCTTCCAGGAACGCGCTCCGTCGTCGAGCATAATCTCCGGCATAGAGGCCGGGTCCCGCACGTACCAACCCCGACGGCCCAGCTCGCGCACCGTCCAGTCCGGCGAGGTACGGGTGTTGCGCGCCCGCTCGCGCAGAGGTGCGATGAGCTTGTCGCTAAACTCGATGACCTGCAGCGGGTAGCTCTGCGGCGAAAGAATAACGCACGCGTTGGGGTTAAAAATGGTGCCGATCGTAAGCTGGTTGGCCTTGTTCAGGTCCAAGTAGCACAACGTGGATGGAACCCAGGGACTGATCGGCTCTCCATCAACCGGCTTGGGTGGCACAAAGAATGTGTTGAGATCCTGGCCATTGAGCTCGCACGAGCTCAGACCCAGCTCCTCCAAATGCTTCGTCAAGGGCAACAAGGCCTGAGTATGGGCGGAGGTCACCTTAGCCCCTCCGAGGTTAAGCGAACGAAGGGTAGAGGGCAACCGAGGGAGAAGTGCCTGCACATCCTCCTCCTCCAGGAGCCGGGATCGGGTGGGGTCCGTCAGCAGATTCAAAAACACCAGCGAGTCGCAGACGGCTGGGTGGGTCGACAGAAACTCGACAACTCGAGAGCCCCGCAGGCGAGAGCATCGGGAGATGCTGAGATGAGTGATCTTCGCGGTCTCGGGGATCGAGAACAACGCATCCTCGGTGATCTGCGTGTGGGTGACATCGAGGTGAGTGAGGTTAACCAGGCGCGGCAGAAGGATCTCGAAAGCAGCCGCGGGAAGACTGCTACATTCATGGAGGGAAACCCGTCGCAAGTTCGGCAGGGTCAAGGGGACACCAGGACCGGAAATCAAGGCCTCCAAGAAGAGAGTGGAGA